AGAATACGAAATCGATAAGAAGAGAATAATTCCCTGAAATAAAATAGTAAACCCCCTAAAACTATAAAAACCCCCCAAAACAGACAACATAAAATAAAAATTTCAACAATAAAATGCTGAAACAGAAAATATAATTAACATCACAATTTCCATTACAATTGAAACGGAAAATGCTGAGAACAGAAACAAAATTGTAATAAAATTTCAAGTTCAATATGTTCTCGACGGTACTTTTCATACCAGTCAAGGAAAAAAAATGAAAAAAAAAATTAGCGAGCATAGTGACAGAATGACTGTCCATCCGAAGATGGAGAGCCATTAGTAGTTCCCCTCTTCTGGGCAAATTTTGCCGGGGCTCTTCAGCATATAGCCTCTTCTTTCTTCGGCAATAGCCTCACAAAAATCACTCGCGAAAATTTTACGTTTGCTCAGACATTTGTGAACATGTAACACGTAAACGAGCAACGATCCCTTGAATCGCTACTCGCATACCTGCACAATTTTTGCAAATGTCCAAGCACAAAACACCTTTTAATTTCACTTCACTTCACTTTCATTTTAATACTTCATTTTTGTAATCGGGTCTAGTACCACGACTACGACTTACAAACTAATAAGGCTTGGCCTTGAAAAAATCAAGAGAGAATGCTAAATTAATTAATTAATCAACTAATTAATTTGCATTTTCATTTTTCCTCTCGATTTTTTAATTTCCAACCCCAGATACAAGCTTCTCACGTATTAGAGGAGAATACGAAGAGAAACATGAAAGCTTGCTCTGGCCCTGCCTACTTATAAACTAAACTCAATCACACCAGAAGTAAACTACCTGCCTGCCTATCGCTATATTTAAAAAAGGGCAAAAATCATCCTCACAAAAATTCACTCCACGGTTCTCATACAACCACCCGGGTGCAAAAATGCCTACACCTAGGGAGAACGTCCCGGGACGCCTCCGACACCCGAGTTCAATTCAACTTTCACACTCTAATAAAATCATACCTTTTTGCTGAAATCGACTGACAAATAATAGTGAACATTATGCTAAAGTAATACATTTCATTTTCGTATTCTATTGAATTATCTAATGTAAAAATTTTTCAATTTATTCTTGATAAGTATTTTGTAATGTTATAGTAAGTTAAGATTGTTAATAAACGATACAAATCCCACATCCTAACCACACACACACATGTGGAACTTCTATCGTGGTTCACTATTGGTTCACTACTTCTGTCAGTCGCCAAAATGAATTATACTTAAAACTAAACCTTGTCCACCGCCCTCCACCCACACGAGTACATCTAAGTACCCGAATGAGTTTTGGGCATAGAAATGAACAAGGCCAAAGGTATTTTCACCTACCAGTTTTCTTCATGTGTGCTGAAATGCCTAAGTTAAAACGTATGATTAGCAAAAACTAAAGATGATATTCTCACTTTATTAAAAGTAAGAATATCGGCGAAATTTCACGGCTCCGATTTAGTATATGGGCTGGCCCCCCCAGGGGGTTTTATTTTTAATAAAAGTGACTCGACTTTGCAAATATAAAGCTTGAAGAGCAAATACAGAAAAGCAAAATTGAGCAACTATGACATAAAACATGGTGCACTGCTAATATCAGTTGGCAACGGAGGTTCTTAGGCCCCCTGGACTTGCGCCCGACGCTACATACCACCCACCCCGCCTGGACGTCGTAACGCCAGGACAGGATGCACCCCTTCGCTAAGAGCGCTACCCGCCCGTCCAACACGTTGCATCCAACGTGTCAGATTGACGGGCGCCCATAGTATAGGCAAAAGGACTGCAGTTTATTAAATGGAACATATGGATGTGCGCCACATTCTAAACTGCGCCTTGAAAGGCCTAGTAATGCATGGGTTTATCTCCCATGAGATGGTATTTCACGGTCTTATGCCGCGGAATCCTTGTAACTAATTTGATTAAATAAATAAAACATTGGATTGAGTTTAAAAACCAAAAGGATTCCCACCAAATACTAGTCAGTGCATTGTCATATTTACTCTCGCGTTGGAAATTTTTCGCAACACTAATTAAAATAGAAAATCCTGATCTAAAAACATGACTAGTACATAAATATCTAACGGGCTAATATTTCACTATACTGGGGTATGCGGGTGGATAAATGATTATGTTATAGAGTTCGTGAGGCTGAAGTGTGAATGATGAGTGTTTAGGGTCGAGAACCGTGAACGTGACAGAATGAATTTCAAGTACGAAAGGGGAACTTTATACAATGCTTGAAGAGCAAATACCAACCCCCCTGGGGGCCAGCCCATATACTAAACTGATGCCAATTTCACGAGTAAAATTGGAAAGAATTGGAAAAATTGTACTCAATTTCAAGAGCGATTTCGTTATCAAAGTAAGTAGTTATAATAATTAATAGTAATCATGCTTATTACTTTGATATTGAAATCCGCTCATCGCGAAATAAATTCTTGTACATATAAAAAAGAAAATGTATTGTGAAGTCGGAGGGTCATCCGACTTCTTTACATTTTTAAACTCGAAATCTATATATGTAAATATGTACAAGAAAACCCTATCCTAAGCTAAGGCATAAAATACACAAAAAAGCAATTTGCACGATTATCGTTGTATAAAATAATACAGTGATATTCGTGGGTCACTATGCTCGCTCAAAAAATAAAAATTACAACCAATTCCCGTGTCGCTACGGACCATTTGTCCTACGACATGATGGGAATCGGAGGAACTTTAAAGCATGCGACTCACCGATCGTTGACTTGCACCACTGCACTCGCCACGCATCTTAGATTGATTCATAGCTCGACTGTTGGCTGGTCAAAGAAACGGTACCCCCACTGGCCAAAGCACTCATCTGGAAGCATAAAAACCACGATTCTTGAACGATATATGTTTTCTCTCAATTTGTTGTAGTTAATATGCTAATACATACTATAATTTAAAAATATGCATGCAAAACTATATAGGAATAACTACATCATAAAATACGGTAAAACACATGCAAATAAATACATCCCAAAACACATGAAGATCAAAACCATAGAACACCATAAAATATTTGCAAAATTGTAGCAAAACACATAGGGTACCACTCCATAAAGCCTACTAATAAATTCGTATAAATATACTAAAACACATAGGGTACTACTCCATAAAACCCACTAATAAATCCGTATAAATATGCCAACACACATAGGGTACTACTCCATAAAACCCACTAATGAATCCGTATAAATATGCCAAAACACATAGGGTACCACTCCATAAAACCCACTAATAAATCCGTAAAAATATGCCAAAGCACATAGGGAACCACACCATAAAACACAATAAAGCACATGCAGGTACATGGAGTACCACACCATAAAACACAATAAAGCACATGCAGGTACATGGGGTTCCACACCATAAAACGAACTAATATATCCGTATAAATATTCCAAAACACATGGGAAACACTATAGGAAATACTATAGGCAAACACAGTAACACTTGTGGTAATACACTGATAAATCCATGCACGAATATCCATGGTATCAACCCGTACCGGTATATGTTTGACAGATCCATCCCTATCCTTTGGCGGTCGCGATAAGACTGATTAGATTTGACCTCTGTACGGGTCGCGCATGTACCAGCGCGCGGCGCGCGCAATCAAGCGTGACGTTCCGCTTCACCGGTTCCGCAGATTTAATTATTTCTATCTGATATTTGTTAATATTTGTTTAATTATTATTTTATATTTTACAATTGTTTATTAATCAAACGAACGAACTGCGCCCTACAGAATGAACGAGAAACTAAATTTCTGGTCTGTTTTACCTTGTTGACGTCTTTAGCGAGTGAACAATCAACGAAATCGTAGTTTTCAAATTACTTCTATTTGGAGACTTGTACATCATCCCTTGGGTACTCGTTTTATTCTATCCGATCCAAAGAATATTAGTCTGGTCCCTATTTGGACATACGATTCACAGAAATGTTTATATTACGAATAAATCAATGCAGGTGAGTCCGATCCGCCATTTTCTTGACCGTTGACAGACAGCAATTTCAATATTTTATAAGTTTTTGACGATTTGGATAATATAAGGACCAGACAAATATTCTTTAGAACCTTCTGAACACGTCCCTCAAATTTTTTTACATTCTGTTTAGAAATGAGGACGTAATTTGAAAACTCGCGTCTAGGGATTTCTCTAGGGACTGTCGGTAAAGTTTTCGACGCTCGCATCACCTTAACGTATCTTACCGTAAAATACTGTAAAATGTAAAAAACCCTAGGAAACGCTCGGATGACGCAACCCTGGTAGCAAGTGTGATTAATTAGACAAACGTGTTACTTTTACACTGAAAAACGAAATATGCTATTATAAGTGATTTTAGGGAAAAATAACCATCCTTTGCCGTCAAACTACAAGTGGGAAGAATTATAATGTGTATTAAATGATAAAATAATTAAAATTTTAATCGTGGAGAAGAACAATATCCAGTGACGACCTAGTACCAACGGCCTCCGTGGCGCAATCGGCTAGCGCGTTCGGCTGTTAACCGAAAGGTTGGTGGTTCGAGCCCACCCGGGGGCGGTTTTTTTTATGTCTATAAATAATAGAAAACATGTTATACAATATAAACTTGTTTAGAAATGTATATGTAACAATTTAAATAAATGCAAATACTGAAGAAAACTGTTCCCTTTTGGTCCAAGTAGCGGGTAGCTGGTAGCTAGTTTTTATTACGAAATACATCATACTGTAATAACATTTTACGGTATTTAAAATAAACATTATTATTCAACAATAAAGATTATTATTTAATATTTAAACATTACACGTCGCTAAACATGCAATCTAACAAATAAAGAGAAACATTCCTGCAGAAGATCCTTTCAAATTTGAATACCAGTATGGCGATTATCGAAAATCGACGACTCGATGTATCGAGCGACTTCTCGCAGCGATATATCGAACGTAATCGACCCTGTGAGTTGTATTGGTTACAAGCTATAGCGTGTTGGGTGTTGAGGGCTTTCCTGCAGCCATTTTTCTCTTCGATAAGCAAAAGTTTTTTATTTTAGGGCATTAGCATCGTTTGTAGGATCAGAAAATGACAGACGATAAAACGGAATTCGTAAGTCGATTTAATAATATCTAGAAAATTAGCATTGTGTTAATATAACCTCACTTTGCGTAATGCGTAGTATAAATTGCTTACGTTGAATAATTGTGCGTTCTTTTTACTCGTAGGACTGGGGAAATGAGAAGTTACAACGTGCTCAGAAAACTGTGGACGAATCTCCGTACGATTTGGAAGCATGGAGCATCCTTATCAGAGAAGCACAGAACAGACCTATTACAGAAGTAAGACCAGTTTTTGAGAAGCTTGTCTCTGTCTTTCCTTCAGCTGGACGTTATTGGAAGATTTATATAGAACAAGAGGTAATACTATCACCACTTTCATTATCATCATCTGCTATAAACAATATTAATGGAAACACTGTCAGAAAAGTTTATAAATAAATTGTTCTAAACTATGTACAATATTGTATATTAAATAATACAACTAAATAGATTCCTATACTAGAAGAAAATAAAATTTTATTTTATACTATTTGTGACTGTTTCAGATGAAAATGCGCAACTTTGAAAAGGTGGAAAAGGTATGTTAATATTAATTGTCTGAGTTTCAAACTTTAATGACATTATTTTACATGTTATTAAATTTATAGTTCAATGTATTATTCAAATTGTTTGTTTTGAGTATACATAATTTTCATTATTGGTTTTTCAATAAAATTGTCGGGTGGATTTTTTTTTAATTCAAACTTGCAGTTATATGCATGTTTATTAATTAATCAAGAACAATTATAATTAAACGCTCGTTATATTAAATAGGAAAATTTCTTATTGAACAGTGGTAGTTAAAAATTTTTTAGTGTAATAAGATTAACTCAATAATTTGCGATTAAATATTATCATACACTGTGACTCTAAGCACTTTGCATTTTATATAAGGTGAATAAAAACAGTATTTCACCATAAACATATCTTTCATTAATTAATAATTGGTGTGTTGGTATATTTGGGAGGTTGTTTTCTTTGTTGAGCAATATGTTTTCAAATAATATATAATCTACTTAGCCTATGAGTTAATATAGATTTGATATTAGCATAAATCAACTTATGAAGGCAGCTTCCTGAATGCAACAGCCTTGTATTCCTTCCTACAATACACTTTTCACTGTGCTTGAATTATGTTATCTGACATATGATAAAATTCATACACAAGGTGTAGAAATTTTATTGAACATGATCTAAAGTAAAAATGTTTGACTTATGCAAGGTATATTTATATCTGTGCATACAGAAACAATCTTGATGGTGCACATGTTTGTCTCAATATTATATAAATGAGTTTGAGACAATTGATATTATCAAAAATTGTTTCATCAAAAAGTTTTGGGACTTACATAATTTACCTTCCCCTTGAACAGTATTTGAGAAGTATTCTCAGGTATTGTGAAAATTCTATAGAGGTAGCATAAGGTGAAGAAGAACTAATTAGTGTTAAATGTATTAATGTATTTGAATAATAATTAGTAAAAATGAAATATGCCATAAACGGTGCTCATATTAATTCGCGATTTATTTCTATCACCTTATGTTGCTTCACACTGTCTAAATTTTTTTGTCACGTTTCGGGATCATTCATTTCTAGATCCCACATAGGTCAATTCTGTCATACTACTAACCCCACTTGCAAAAAATAAATAAACTGTTTGATTCAATGGGGTTTATTTTATGTTACCTTTATAATCTCATATCTACAAAAAATTTCTCAATTATTCACACTGAATCATATGTTTAAGCAATAAACCATTTCTCAATTGATGCACTGGTGCATTATTATTTCTCCCACTATATATAAACGATATTGTAGTAGTGATTGTATCAAAAAATTTGCTTTAATAAATTGTTGATTTTCTGTTTCTGATATGTTAATGTGACTTTTATTGGTATTATCATTAATGTTCAAATATGTGTATAAAAAAAAAAGACTTGCCTGTATGGGTAAGTAAGGTGGTAGATACGTAATCTTTTTTGTAACAACAATTGAGTGGGCTTCGTGTGGATGATACATTGTTTCCTTACATTGCCTCTAAAATACTTGTTTTCTCTGACAGCTTTTCCAAAGGTGCCTCATGAAAATCTTAAATATTGAGTTGTGGAAACTTTACCTTTCTTATGTCAAAGAAACAAAAGCCAGTCTTGCTACGTATAAGTAAGTACATTGGTCCATGAACAGATATTTAATCAAGCAGTTACAACTTTAAACTATCAACTGATATACTATTTGTAGGGAAAAAATGGCACAAGCGTATGATTTTGCATTGGATAAAATTGGGATGGATATACATTCGTATAGTATATGGAATGATTATGTTATGTTTTTGAAAAGTGTCGAAGCTGTTGGTTCGTACGCCGAGAATCAGAAAATTAGCGCGGTTCGGAAGGTAATTAATCGCGCGTATATTCCAGCGTATGCAAACGTGTTTTCAATTATTTTGATTGTTATATTATTACTGCTAAATTACAGGTATATCAACGCGGTGTTGTCAACCCCATGATAAACATGGAACAATTGTGGAAAGATTACATGGCATTTGAACAAAATATTAATCCAATAATTGCAGAAAAGATGGCTATTGAACGTTCCAGAGATTATATGAACGCAAGACGGGTTGCCAAGGAGTTGGAAGCTGTAACAAGAGGACTGAATCGTAGTGCACCGAGCGTACCTCCAACTGGCCATCCAGAAGAAGTGAAACAAGTACTATTTCTCCTACACTATTAATTTAATGTATCTGATTAATTATACAAACGTTAATGTTTCTGCGTCAGGTTGAATTATGGAAAAAGTACATTGCATGGGAACGTAGCAATCCTCTAAGAACCGAAGATACTTCTTTAGTTGCACGTAGAGTAATGTTTGCTATAGAACAATGTTTACTATGTTTGGGTCATCACCCGGCGGTGTGGCATCAAGCCGCACACTTCTTAGAACTTAGCTCGAAAATATTAACGGAAAAGGGGGATGTAAATGCAGCGAAGAATTTAAGCGACGAAGCTGCTACTATGTTCGAAAGAGCGACAAGTACATTGTTATCGAAAAATATGTTATTATATTTTGCACACGCGGATTTCGAAGAGGGAAGAGTAAAGTACGAGAAAGTGCATCAAATATATCAAAAGTTCCTTGATATACCTGATATTGACCCGACACTCGTTAGTATTTATCGATATTAATTTTCGTATCCTCTCTCAATTTCCCTGTTAAATCGGTTCATTTTTCGTAGGCTTATGTACAATATATGAAATTTGCAAGACGCGCAGAAGGTATAAAATCTGCTAGGACGGTTTTCAAACGAGCTCGAGAAGATCCGAGATGTAAACATCACGTATACGTCGCTGCTGCGTTAATGGAATATTACTGTACTAAAGATAAAAATATTGCTTTCCGAATATTCGAACTGGGTTTAAAAAAGTTCGGAGATAACCCTGACTATATACTTTGTTATATTGACTACTTATCGCATTTGAACGGTGAGACGAATGAACATTTAATTCCACGATTAATTTGATTCAGTTAAGTTAATTGTGCAAAATATGGATTTAATGTTGCAGAGGACAATAACACAAGGGTTCTGTTTGAAAGAGTTTTATCTTCTGGTAGTTTAGAACCAGAAAAATCAGTGTACGTAATCGATACGTTTAATCATTTCAACAGATTAGATATATATTTTCATGTCTAATGTTAAAAACTTTTCTTTTAGTGACATATGGAATCGCTTTTTAGAGTTTGAGTCTAATATCGGAGATCTAGCCAGTATTGTTAAAGTCGAAAAAAGACGTAGCGCAGTCTTAGAAAAGGTATCAATAGAAAATCGATAAAAGATCGATGTTGTTAATAATATAGAATATTTCAAACCTTTTCATCTTTTAGATCAAAGAGTTCGAAGGCAAGGAGACAGCACAATTAGTAGATAGATATAAGTTCCTGGATTTATATCCGTGTACTCCAATGGAGTTACGATCCATCGGATATATGGAAGTGTCTAGTGTTGCCAGAAGTACAGTTGGTGCATTACCGCGGATACCGGATCCGGAAGAGGCTATCGCGTCTTTACCTAGACCGGATTTGTCGCAAATGATTCCTTATAAGCCAAAAGTAAATCCATTACCCGGAGAGCATCCAGTACCTGGTTAGTATTGATAATATCTACTATTAATTATGCTTCTACAAATTTTTGTAACAAATTTATATTTATTTCCTGTTTTCACTTCAGGCGGTACTTTCCCGTTACCACCTGCCGCAGCGCAACTTTGTACCATGCTTCCGCCACCAGGTTGTTTCAGAGGACCATTCGTAGCTGTTGACTTACTTATGGACGTTTTCAATCGGATCCAGCTACCGGAACATGGTAAAATTAGAAATAATATTAACAAGTGTTTTTTAATTTCTAACTCCTTAATTTGTTTCTAATTGTTTTTATGAAATTTCTAATGTATAGCTCCATTGCCGGTAGCAGATAATGGTTGCGACACAAAATTATTCGACTTAGCCAAGTCCGTACATTGGATCGTCGATGAAAGTAACGATGGAATAAGTATCGGATCTAAACGCAGAAGAACGCGTTTAGGAGGTGATGATAGCGAGGAAGAAGATCTACCACCACCTCCGGCAAACGACATATACCGCCAAAGACAACAGAAACGAGTCAAATGAACAAAGAAATGATAACCCGACAACAGAGTTACGTATCATCTCCAAGTATCCTGGAGATATCTGATACACGTTATCATATATTTTTACATTTTCTCTGTTTGTTCCGGAAGGAGATATTTCCTGACGGGACAAACCTATTATTATCTAAAAGCGTACGTTACGTATATGTAAGCAACTACTAAATTCCTTATGTGACACTGTGCACGATAGTTTGAGTACTATGTACTCAGAAATCCTATACTTACACCATTGATTTCATATTTCTTCAAATGTGTTCATTTATATAGAAAGTGTCTAATTTGACCCGGACGGGGACAACATTGAGAACGTCCAATGGATCGAACATCATTGTATCGTTACCTATTTTGCTATGTATTGAAATCTTCAAATCAAGATTTAATTTCGAGACCATTGTTTATGGTAATTTGTATATTGAAAAAAATGTTGCTCAGGCCTTATAAGAATTGTGGTGCAAAAGCGAAGGTGATTGGTAAGACATATTCGTCTTTTATCGGGCAGAAGTAATTTGTTATAATTGTAAGTAATTTGTATCATAAAATATTATTTAGCACTATTGTTTTATGTGAATTTTTATGTACACTATGCGATAAGAGAAAAAACCGATTTATTTTTTTTTTTTTTCATTTATAGAACGATTTACCTAAATTCACGGTATCGAATCAAATGTATTCGAGAAATTGGTTTCTTCATTCCAGTTTCTATTTCAATATCTATTTATTTTCGACATTTGTATACAATTTTTGTAAAATACCAAATTGATTAAACAATTCATTTATCTATCCAATCTGTTCTAAAATTTATTTGAATCGAACATGCTCGGAAAGCTATTCATCCGAATACAATTGTTTCGCGCTGTATGTTTAAATCAATTTATATAAATTCGATGTACAGGACCAATAAATTGTCATCATCCCATTGCAGTCTTTATTTCAACAAATTTTTTTTATATTTGAACACGATGTTATACTCATTCCTATTCAAATTAAACTTATTGTTAGAATAAAAAAAAAAATATACATTCTGGTATTTCTCAAAAAATAGAATCAATATCACAAGACAATTTTTAATTTATTATAATAATTCTATTTAGCTGTAATTCTGTCAGATGTAGTTTCCTCTATGTAGTCTTAATTAACCATCTAAAACAACCGCTGATATTTCAGCATAATCTGTCGCTGCTACGCGTTTCCAGTTGGAAGCTGTGGAATCTGAAGGAATCTCTATTACACAGATATAAATTCTTGACTGTTTAGTGTGTAATTGTGGCATAGTTCTCGTCCAATCTGTCTTAGGCAGAGATACCTAGCGTTTGTACATTTCTCAAATCAACTAAACTACCTGCATTCCTTCCCAATGACTAAGTAAGTGTTTTGTAGAAAGATGACGATGTTATCGAACATATTTTGCATAGTCTCTGTTCTATTAATACGTTGCATGGATCAATACAAATTCTGCTAAGTTTATTTACAGTTTAATGCAGTATTATGCTTAATTAAAGAGAAGCAGATTGAATAATTTGTTTTGTATAAAAATAAATAACATCGATGATTGCTTTCGCGTATAAGGGAAGATTGCTTCTCATTGGAAACCTCTTAAATGACGATTCCGTACGGAAAAAGGGAAGATTGGTCGCAGAGATTCTCAAGACCACCTGAACCCGTGAATCCAGGTGTTTCACTACCGATCCAATAATTTCGCTATCTCCTATTCTGAAACCCTTTTATCGTTTCCACAAACACTCCCATCTACCGAAAAAATTGATCTTGTAATTTATAATTATAGCCTTCACCTCCCTGTGTACATTTCAATATTACATTCATTTAAAAATATTACAGTCCATGCAGTTATTAAAATGCTTAATATAAACTACCCGAGTACGAGTTTCTTCTGTTATGCATTTTAATTAAAATTGTTGTTTGAATATAATTTTTGGTATCGTGTGTTCCTGGAATGTATAGCTGTACCTGCTTTCCTAAGCTACAGCCTATTATGTTAACGGGTTCTTAACGAGCCACATGCGTGGCATAAAGTACAATAGTTTGCCGCGGTGTGCCTCGTTTTACATTGATTAATGTGCTTGCCAACAAGTTAATAATTGTAAGTTACAATTATGCAACAGAAATTGGGATCATTGAGGGAAACGAAACTACAAAGCTTCCTTGAGTATCATTTAAAAAATTGTATACTAAAAAAAGTTAATTTTTATTATTTGAAAATTTTGAATAACATTCGGATATTTATTGTTTCATAAAATAATGCAAGAGAAGTAGAAAGAAATTCGTATGAGATTTATTAAGAGACACTCGAAACCAGGTAATAAAATTGCGGAAGCAGAGAAATTAATTGCGAACAAATTTCGTGTACACAACACAGCGACAGTGGTGGTCTTTGAACTAGTATTTAATTACGAAAGACCTTTGTAACCTTTGACCTGGTCGGTAAACCTGCAACTGTCAAGTACAGTTGCATACGGCAACGCGGAAGTCGGGTAGTTTGAAAAGGAAACTAATAGCGAGCATTTGTGAGAAAATTGAATTACGAATTAGATAATATAATTATGTATTCCTCGATATTACTTTTCCAATATATACAAATTTTGTTTTCTCGAGGTTTGAATGCTACATTTTTTGTAGATCCAGACCAGGATTGATTCCCCATCGATCGTGGATTAATTATGATAGAAAAGAATTACACCCTGATTAGTCCCATTCGTTCATAGTCAACTATCTAAACATAGATTTCGGTGGATTTTACGAGAGGTTAACAAAGATTTTACAAATTACTCCTTGCCATTAATTCCTACAACGGGAAAATTTAAGGAGACGTTCTCCGGTAACCGCCTGGGATGCAACTTGGAGAGCTCTTTGAAACTTTGGTTCTATCTCGGAGGAAGACAAATGACAAGAGCCGAAAGGAGCTCCTGAAACTGCTAGTTGGCCTTTCATAGAACGCAAACGCATAATTCTCTCACTTTGGCGAGAACGAACTATCACGAGATACCGTGTTAGAGTAATTTCTTCGGCAAATCGATAAAAAAGAGGGAAGGTATGAGTCACTTTCAGTCTTTCCCAGGATGGAATAATCTTGATGTTGCTTTGATGAATAAATCAACGATTTCGTCTCGATGGGTATAATTTTCATTTAAGAAGAAGACGATATGAGGATGATTAAAATAGAAACGTGGAATGCACTCGAGAAATTGAAGCATTTGAAATTGAAATTGAAACGGTTAAAATTATACCTAAGTAATCCATCAATCTCTAAATGTTACTATTTCTACACCGATATTCAAAGATTCCTTTAAATTTAACAGAACCAAAGATAAATGTTGTAATAAACGATTCCAATCACGATTGCTTGAAATCTCCTATTGAAAAAGAATATTCACCGAACAGAGTTATAACGTATTTATGGGGGTGCATCGTTGCTGTCGTGGTGCGTGAATGTATATTGTAGATTGGAGCGACGTATCGACGGATAATAGCATTCACCTGTGACTATATTAGAATCTGTATCGAGGATCTGATTCAATGGCACTCGTCATCCAGGACCGACATCGTTATCGCGACAATAGCTATCTCAACTATGCCCGTCTCACGATAATGGTGCATTCTAAGACGAACGGATTGCGGTTTCGATCTTCTTCGAAGCATCCTTTCTAACGACGTCATGGTTTGCTTCGAGCCGGGAAAATGCTTAAACAAGAAGCATGTATTCACCGGCCTCGCCTCAGACAACCTTCTCTCCTTTCCTTTCCGCAATCTCGTTACCTATGCCCTTCATCCCGACTTTGATATGCATTATTGAAGTAATAAACCTTCATCGGGATATTTATGCGGTCACGCCACGTTATACTTCGTGAGGGATGCCCGTTCATGCCGCTGTTGAAATTGCCCCAAGAAGAAGGTGTGTAATGTATTAACACGCGAAACCATCCGATGGAATGGCCATCAACAGTGATCGTGTCCATTTACCAAGATGAGTAATTACTAGATTATGACATCAATTGGACGATAATTCTTGAATAACATGGATAACGTAATTCTATGATCCGTTTGATAGCCTGTGATTAGGTTTGTATTAGGTTGTATTGCTCTGTTTATTGCTCTTACTATTGTTCAAGTATTTTGTACAAAATTAAAGCTTCAATTTGGCATAAAAGGTGGAATGCATTTGCTTCAAAAAGCTTAGTATTTCCCTTCTCCCTACAATCATTTTTCAGATCCATTTAAATTTAAATATTTTCTTGTTCAATCTGAAGGTAATGGATTTCTCCCGCAGCTACATCTGTCCGTGCTGTGCAGTACAGGAGAATTTTTTAGAACCTTTCCGTACTTTTTATCTCGTTGAGGGATATAGGTCGAGTCACTTTAAAAATCTTTCGAATCTTTTTAAAAAGGTAATTTAAGTCTCGGGACAAGCAACAAAAAATTTAACCTGTGTCCCAGATTTCACGGTTCTTTTTTCTTTTCAAAATTAAACCTCTTTCTTTCTCTCTGCTATTTCGTTGCGTAACACCTTTAGGCTTGTCGTAAAGCTTTTCTGCAAAATATTCCACGGGAAATGCGCTGAAAACTCGGGGTACAGTTTTCCAAAAATTTATTGCTATTATAGCATAGCGATGCTCGATTGTCTTTAAATAATTCTTTTCTTTTTCTTTTCTACGATTATTTTCCGCGAGTTTACACTGAGAAACGTTACAGTGAAAGAAAGAAAAATGAATACGAGCACACGTTTCTTTGTTTTCTTGATTAGAAGTATTAAGTTCCATCAGTAAAAGTAATAAAGCGGCTGAAAGGAAGAGAATGGCAACTGCAACAACGACGTTAACGATTTTGAAAGCTGTTGACGGGAGTCTCGCACTGATGAACAAATAAAGCGAAAAATTCACATGCTTTTATGTCTTGAAAGGAGCTAAGTGTTTACAGTTTTTCGAGCAACGCATTACCGCCACCAAGAACTTCTACATTTTCAAATTGCGTGCATTTGCTGCCGTTGAAAACTCGCGCCACCAGTACCGAGAACTTTTATACAATTTTTTCGAACGATTTCACCCCCGTGTCGCGACGTCTCGAACTTTTACCTTCTCCCCTTATATAACGCAAAAATGCAACGCTTTTGTGCTTTTCGGTTAAAGCTTTCAGTTCTCTAAAAACAGAGTAATAGATTTGGGTTCTAATTCTAATCAAAAAAATTACAGAATATTAATATTTTATCAAGCAATTTAGAAAAAATATAAAATAATCTCAGATTCGTTAAATTTTACAACTAATTAATGCTATAATTCTAATATTATTTTCAAAATGTTCGTAAGATATCGAAATCCACTAAACACTGAGATCGTCAGCAACAACAAAACAATAACGAGGACTTATATGCAGCTATCCGCCACGATACAATACTGTTAATTACGGGGATGTTATTTAATTGTAATTACACCGAAGCCTGCGCCGTTAATATTAATTATCCGGCATGTCCCTGGTCCGTACCATCGCATTAATGATACGATCCTCCCCTGACGAGCTGTTGGCCTACATATCCATTTGTCGTGGAGCAGCAATATTTACGTGCCAAATTCACATTGGATCATTCACCTCGACGGACAACGTCGTGAATGTTGGTAGTGAGAATGTGTCGCGCTGGCGCCACTTCGTGCCTGCATTTGTCCAAGAAATTGACAGACAGGAGTCACATGGGAAAACTTAACGATGATGTGTTCTGCGATGGTCAATTGCGAAATGCTCTAAAATTGAAAAGTCGAGGATATCCAATGAATAAAACGAAAGTTGATCCGTCGAGAGAGGGTGAACGATTCAATTTTTAATTATAATTACCACAATGAATCCCTACATGCCATTATTTTTTTTTACACACCTCAATCAAGAGAGTCGATCTAATTCATTTAAAGTTAATACTAAAT